TCGTATTTTATTGTTTTCCCCTTTTACAAATCACGTGGAGGAAAAATTTGAGATGTCCTCAAGGAGTAATGTTATTCATCCACACTGGGGATGAAAACACAATTTAGGTGGCGCTCATGTGGCATTAAGGCCCCGTTCGGGAGGGATTAAAAGCCAATTAAAATTGAAAATATGGCCGTTATTGGGTCACATTCGTCTAATAAAAGTCAACAATAACGGTTATATTTTCAATTTTAATCTGATTTTAATTCCTCCCATACAAGGCCTAAATGATAGGTGAAATTAAATTCACCTTTTATTTCACCTATCATTTACAGCCACCTAAATCGTATTTTCATCCCTATTCAGGATGAATAACATTACTCATTATTATTACAATTAAATACGTTAATACTTTAAAACTTCCAAATGTATTAAAAATAAATTACAAAATATTTGCTACAGTAATAGAATTTTGGCCGATTTGCTACGTTTCACGGAACAATCAGAAACTTCCAAGCGGCCACGTTGGGGAAGTTCAGAATCTGCGGCCGTGCTTTGAAGTTCAAATCGGACTTTTTTGTCCCTGTTCATGTATTTATGTATGTATGTATGTATCTAAGCAAAATGATTAAGCAAACCGCCTGAATCTATGATCTTTTAATCCCAAACATTGTTTTTTAATAGAAATCTCGCCAATTCTACGTACCATACTTTTTTATATCTTTCTATAATCTGTACTTCTTCAATCTTCTCTGCCATTTTGAGAGTAACCCATTTTGGTGAAAGCTCTATGTCTTTCTAGTATTTTCTTTTTATGTGTTTCTGGGGCGTTTTGTATATGTAAAATGGCGATCCTGGAGTTGCCGGAGATTGTGGAAACGACGACGTTGAATACCCACCACAGCCACGCCGCGAGTACTGTTCGGCGGAGATCTAGTGCGGTGGCTGTACTGGAGTCAGATTCAAACTCTTTAGAGGCGGTGTATGATAGTGACAGTGATGTTAATAACAATAATGAGATGGGAAATCTGTGTGGAGGAGTGGTGGAATCGGCGCGGGAAGAGCCGAGTGAATCGGGTACTGAAGGTTTGAGAAATGGCGAGGAGGAGAAGGAGCAGTTTCGTACTGGAGAGAGTAATCAAGGAATGGAGGTGTCGGCGGCGGCGAAATTCGCGCACCGTCCGTCTGCACCGGCTCACCGGAGAATCAAAGAGAGTCCTCTCAGCTCGGACGCAATCTTCAAACAGGTTTGCACTGTTTTTCTTACTAATTTTACACACACACATAATTGGCCATCCTTACATATCTACACAAATTTCTCTGCTTTACTTTATCAAAATTTTACTATTTATTTTTGAATTCCTAGCTTTTTCCGAGTTCGTTTAGCCAAAAAGTAACCAAATAATAGATATTTTTTTTTTCTCTGTGACCAACTTTAAATTAAGTACTTTTCATCTCTTTTGTTGTTCAAATTACTGGTGTCATTTTAAATAGCTCATGAACTTGTCTTTGACTTATTTTTGCAGTAGGACTGGTTAGGTATGAACAAAAATTTGCTTTTGGTCTTTTAAGATTATTATGGACGCACATTTGACAATTTCTTTATCATTTTCGGTAGAACATGTGTGGATTTGAATACTATGAAATACATGTCCTTATTTGTTGACATACTAACATTATATATTAAACCATAGTTTGAAATTCACCACTTCGAAAATAAAAGTACATCCATTTGAAGCTCATTTAATTTGATTGTTGTTTACGGATTAGGTTGATCTGGTTTAAAATTTCAGAACGCAAAGATCATCACTGGGTTATTGAGACTGTTTATTTCAGAAGCTATCTTACGGTCCTGAATTGTTCATTGACTCATTTGATGTCCCATTGCTTTCATTCAGAAGATAGTACGACGAAGAAAATTCTATAGGGTTGTTGATGCTGTGTAAAAGTTGTAATTTAAATTATGAAGTTTTCTCGAGTGGAATTTGTCGTATTTATGGCATGCCCATACAGAGTTGACCTTTCTTTGTGTTGTTTTGTCATTTTCTGGGGTCGGAGGTGTACTCGAGAAGTAATGAAATTCAAAAAGGGTGAGAAAGCAACCTTATGAGAAGTTTCTCTTTTTTTGCTTTTGTGCTGAGGGAGGTGTGCAGTTTTTTTTCCTATTGGCTTCTGTATCTTGGAGATGACGTGATTCATCTGGGTGTATCCGATAAGAGTTGGCCTTTCTTTGCATTGTTTTGTCATTTTTTGGGGGGGCGTGGGTGTACTCGAGAAGTTATGAAATGTAAATGGGGTGAGAAAGTAGCCTTATGAGAGGCTTCTCTTTTTTACTTTTGTGCTGTGGGAGGCCTCCTCTGTTTTTTCCTATTGTCTTCTGTGTCTTGGAGATGACGGGGCTCATCTCGGTGAATCCGATTTCATTTAAGAAGTGGATAGATTATATGGCTTTACTAGGTGTGGAAGTTGAGCAATTAAGAAGAAACTTTCTGTATCTTATGGACTCATGTATACTTGAGAAAAGAGCGTATGTTGCATTGAAAATCAACGACCTTGTATTGGAGTTTGAGGATGATATATATCCAAGATCAATTACATTTGTTAACCACAGACATATTTGATATTTGCCTCATACTCATGCATCATCTTTTAAACACAAAAAACAATTATATTGAACTGATGTTGGTCATATAATTGTAAAATTATATCCTGGGATAGTGACACATAATGTACAACATGTTAAATAATGCAATCTGATGCCGTGATATCAATTTCATATTGTTTTGGTCTTGGATCTAGATATACTGGTGTGGAATTATAACTTTGTGGAGTTATTTACTAAACTATTTCCAGGAATGAAGTTGTCACGGAACTTCAGAATGTTAATTGTTGTCTTGTGGCAGAGTCATGCAGGCCTCTTCAACCTCTGTATAGTGGTGCTTGTTGCTGTAAATAGCAGACTTATTATTGAAAATTTGATGAAGGTGCGTCTCTTGGAATGGCCTTGCACCTTTTGATTTATGGGGATAGTTAATATAATCATCATTAATACTATATATATTTTTTTAATAGTTAGAAGTGGTTGGTGTTTACTGCATATCATTATTGGAAGATTTACATGCCTGTTATTATTGTCGGAGTAGTTGAGCTTAATAGGTAATCTTTTATGTGGTTGCAGTATGGCTGGCTGATCAATTCAGGCTTTTGGTTTAGTTCAACATCACTGAAGGATTGGCCACTTCTAATGTGCTGGTAACATATGCTGAACATTTTTAATCATGTGATGGGTGTAAGAAAAAATAGTTTTTTTTTTTTTAAATTTATCAGTGACGTCTTTTGTTATGATAACTCTTCTTGTTCTGTTTTGCAGCCTGAGTCTCCCAATTTTCCCGCTTGCTTCATTTCTTGTTGAGAAGTTGGTGCTACTCAAGTATATATCTGAATGTGTAAGTTAAGAGTTACTACTTTTTTCATCCTGATTTGAACGGTGTGTGACTTCTATCATTACTCAGGGTTTTCTCTCAGTAATACTTTCTCAAAAGTTAATGCATATTAGGATATGACAGTGAACCAACTCAACCAAACTCCTGATATCCGTCTGCACTGTATAATTGATATTTTATTTTTTGCAAAAAATCCATTTAGGTGTAGGCAAGAGTAGTTAGGCTCTTTACCTAGACCTAAATGGAGGTTTGGCATTGCCCCCTGTCCTATTATATTGAGTGTGAGAAATGTATCTATATTTTGCTTACTAGATTTTTCTTGTCATATATCACTTTAAATTCGTGTAGTAGTCTGTTCCTCAAGTTAATATAAATTGGACACCTTGTAGTAAAGTTGTATCACATTGGAGAAACATATCACTTGAAAACCTGAAAGCCAAGCGTTACCTTCCAAAGTGCTCTTTCTATTATTCATGGCGATTTTTCATTGGGATCTCTCTTCAGTAATAGCTCTGTGAAATCTAAATCTCAAGAGTTCTATTGAAGTTTCGTCTATAGTTATAAAAGCTGAGTTATCGAATTTAATCTTCAAGGCTACCAGCTGGGAATTTGTAAGGCTACAAGTTCGCTGAGAATGCAGATTGTAATTGTGATGTCGTTAGATTTTGATTATCTTAGATAATTCCAAACTAAATACTTGGTGGAATTTTGAAAAAGTGCATATTCTTAATCTATCTGATTGAGCTAAGTCATCTAATGTAGCGTGACTTTTTTGTTCTCTTGTTGTGACTTTTGAGCTTTTATCTATATTGTTTAGATAGATGAATCATTTTATTTATTTACTTTTGTGGATTCTTTACGTTTTTTTGTTGTCATGCTGCATATTATTTATGCATTGCAGTTCACATTGTTGAGTAATTATCCTGTTGTCATGCAACTTGGTTTTTCCAAAACTGTGAATGTTGAGCTCTTTCTTATAATCAGTTGTTAGTTAATGCTCCGTGGGAATAAATTCAAATTGGATTTAAAATTGCAGGTTGCAGTCCTTCTTCACATTATAATAACAACAGCTGCTATCTCGTATCCGGTTTTGGTTATTCTTAGGTTTGTCTTGGACTTCTTTAAATCAGTACATCTTTTCAGCCGTTCATCACGATTTATTTATTTACTTATTTATTTGTCTGGTGAAGAATTCTACCCTTGATAGTGGAGACACTTCTATATTTAAATTCCAAATTTGCATTTGAAACATAACAATAAAATTTTGCAATTATATGATGTCTACATATTTAACTGATCTCAAACATAAGGTGAAAAGTGGATGGTAGATTTGGAATATATAACAGCAGTGTCAAGGTACGCAGCATAAAGGTCATTTCTTCGACTTAATGCTTTGAACCAAGAAGCAATGTGAGATTGGATGGAGCACTAAATTTATACTTTGTTCTTTTGGCTTCATTAATATTATGAAGTTATTTATATTAATCCATATGACTGCATTTGATGATTACCTCTGTTGTGAACACCCAAAAATTATTTGTAAACAACTGCAGATAGGGTTGAAAATCATGCCACGCAAAGCCAGCATTTATGAAGTTGTGTACTGAAAGTTTCCTCTGTGTCATAGGTGTCCACAATTTTTAACCAAAAAGACGTACAAAACACCATCTCTTCAGAAGGGAGTTTAATCCTTTAGTTTGGTTTTCGGGTCTCTTTAGTGCAATAGTTTTGTAGAAATAAGATTCACACGGGGATGATAATATTGGAAACTCATAATAGGTAGGAATTCTTGAGCAAATCACCTAAAATATCGGTAGATTCTATCTATTTCAAGCAATGTGTAGTTCCAATTACGAAATGATATTCACTGGTTTGGGATTGCGCAGGTGTGATTCTGCTGTTCTGTCTGGTGTCGCATTAATGCTCTTTGCTTGCATTGTGTGGTTGAAGTTGGTATCTTATGCCCATGCAAGTCACGATATGAGGGCACTAACCAAATCACTTGATAAGGTAACGAGAACCCTTTTCTTAAGATAATATTTTTACTTTTGCTCCTTTTTATTTTCGGCTGATCAAGGCAAAGGAAGAGAAAGGAACATTCGGTAGTAAAGCTATATTTATTTGATGGTTTTGTTCACCTTCACTGGTACTCTGTGTGTTCATTTCTTGGTCAATACTTATGCCTTGTGTTCAAATGAATTGAAAAGGCAGACGTGAAGCTAAATTTGTCCATTTCCATTGTTTTTGTAGAGATACTTGCCATGTTCTGTAACTTCAGCTGTTATTTATTAAAAAGAATTATGAAATGTATATGCAATCCTGTTACTCTACCTCATATATTGATAACTTCAATCCATTTATGCATATCTATTTTTATCTCTAATAAATGCTCGCATACATGCTAATTGATGAATAAGTGTTCTCAAGCGCTGCCTTTTTAATCAATTCAATTCAGATCATTGTAGTTTCTTATATGGAACTCTCTTTTGAGACCAGGGTGAAACATTGTCTGGTTATTGGAACTCTGACGATGTTAGCTTTAAGAGTTTGGCATACTTCATGGTCGCTCCCACATTGTGTTACCAGGTATGCATGGCTGAACAATTTAATTATCAATATCAAAATTTTATACAAATTCATGAACATGTATAGCTTCTCTAGATAGTTCATAAAAAGCTCTTTATACGGAGTTGCATATGGACCTTTAGTTGAATATGTTGAATATGTGTTGTCCATCAATCAATATGAATGCTTGAAACATTATTGAGAGATCTCAATCTTACATTAAATACCAGTGGGCAATAGGGATGGTCGAAATTCCCCAAAACTGGAATGATTTTGCTTTTCCTATTTTTACTTCTTAACAAATAATGTTAAATGTTAATTGTTAGGTAAATTTAATGATAATGCGCCACACCACGTTTTTCAAACTTTGAACCCTGAAAAGGACTGAACTGGATTCTCTTATAAACGAATTGGGTTGTTTACTTGAAATAAACTAGTCTGACTGTTACATAGATCTGAACTGAACCAGACCTTGCTCATACCCACTGCATAGAATTGGTGAGACTGCAAATGTTACAATGGAATTGTCTAAAGCATGTTTCTTGCACATTATTCTCTGGATTGAGAAGTAAATCCTTCTCGGTAGCCTCGGGCCTGCATTTCTCGCTATTTTTGCTCTGTTTTTGATCATGTGGTTGATGTACAAGGTATTATAGTTGGAACTCATTGATCCTGCTCCGCCTGCTTTATTCTGTCGTGTTGAATATTTTCTCTTATCACCGAAGAATTGTTATTTGTAGCCAAGCTATCCCCGTACATCGTGCGTTCGGAAGGGCTGGGTGGTACGTCAACTCATTAAGTTAGTCATATTTACAGGATTCATGGGATTTATTGTAGAACAGGTTATCTCCTATTTCTTACTAAATCAACTCCCAAAATGTTTTTCTCTATTTGAATGTGAAGTCGACTGATATAGATTATTTCATTGTGCAGTACATAAACCCAATTGTGCAAAATTCTCAACATCCTTTGAAAGGAAACCTTTTGTATGCCATAGAAAGAGTTTTGAAGCTTTCAGTTCCAAATTTATATGTGTGGCTCTGCATGTTTTATTGTTTTTTCCATCTTTGGTATGTTCTTTCTTCCTCAAACTTGGAGTATTTTCCCTTTTTGTGTAATCATTTTGTGATTTGCCTAATGAAACTTGCTTGTTTTTGTTTCAAACACCTGACGCCTATTTCAAATTTAGAAACACTTTACTGATATAACATATACATGCATATGGCTCGTTGCCTGTCTTGCTTTGCAAGATTGTTCATTAATATTATTGTTCATTAATATGCCACGATATTTGTTGGTATGAAGTTATTTATACATATGAAATTGCATTTTAGGTAAATACCAAGGAAACTTTGCAGTAATTTGGAAACAAGATTGTTGCCTTTTGTGGATGTCCAAGAATTCCATGTGTTGCTGTGTTGTACTGAACACCGCGACATGATGACTAGACATGATTATTCTTAAAAATAATAGGACGCGAAAAGTATTAGACAATACCAGTTAAAATATATTTAAGTGTAAGAAATCATGACTGCACAGTAAAATTAAATGCAAGCACTTAAATATTTAGCATATAACTTAAAACCAAAAGTTGAATCTGGTCAAGTAAACATCAAATGGTGCAAAAATAGCCAATTCATTACCAAAGGGATTGTACCAGAAAATGATACTGGTCTAGTAAAGCACACATCCTGATTTGCCCGAGGATCTCACAGCTCAGAAAATGGAAGAATCACAGATTAAAGGTTACTTAAAAGAAAAAAGATAAAAAAGAAGCCAGAGATTACTGTGTTGCTAGACTGTAAGCAAAAGCAAAGATGAAAAACAAATAGGTACCCCAAAGGGAAGATAAATTTTATTCTATTGGCAGAGTTTCATGCAAAGCTGTGGCCAACATTTCTGATGAATGTTTAATAGCTAAGAGAGGAATCGTCCTTTAATTGAAAAAAATTGCTTCAGAGCCTTTTCCTATGCATTGGATAGATATTGTTATCATTATTCTAATACAACTTATAAATTTTACTTACCTCAGTTTTTAAAATTACAAGTACAATTGGATATTTGAAATTGATTTGTTCTGCTCTAGTTAGCAATGGTACTGCTATGCCAACCAACATGATCCCCAAGTAGAGGTGTTCTGAAACTGGGGTTGGGTTGCAAACCTACCTGTGTTTTGTTGAATAACTGTATGTACTATATAATATAAGGAAAGTAGCTCATGTTGTTACCTTGATCTGGGCAAATAACTGTTGCTAAAATGCTCAATGCACTCAATTTTTCTCATAAAGGTTTTTCGTTCTTCCCTTCGGATTAAGTAAATTCTGATTTTTTAAGCCTGTCTGTGAAATGAGAACCATGTTCCATG